ACACCTTTTTTTGTTTCTGTGTGTGTGTTTAGGGGGAGTCCTATAAGGGAGTTCGAGTTTTAACCAGTAGAGTTATATGTTGACAGTTCATAATTGTTTACATGTAGGTAGAACCTGTTTATTTGTAATAATTGGTAATATTATTAACTACAACCTAGTCCATGTTTTCTATCAAACAGGCTCAAAAAGACAGGTGAATTGAGGAATTTTGTGTACTTCGATTAAATCTTTAACCTTTGTCACAACCCCAGGAATAGTGGGGTTTGATTTCAAGCATGTACCCCAGTGAGACAAGGTAACTTTTGTGAAGCTCAGTTCTGTTCCTGTCTCCAATACCATTGCTGGCCTTTTATGAAAAGCTCCCTTACAGGTTGAGTCAGACTGGCTAAGTGGGGGAGAAACTTTTCCACTTATTTCTCCATGCTTAAGCAGCACTGTAAATCATTTACACATTTCAGTGCTATAAATTCACTGATGGTTCTTGTCTTTCTTGAATTCACTGTGATGCCTTAATCTTGGGTAATGTGTCTGGGAAATGTATTCGTCATTCCAGAGAATGGCATTTCTAATTTATTATAATGCCTGAACGTTGTAAGGACTTTGATATATCCTTGACCCTCTTTCATTTTACCATGTACAAAGATGTGATCCGTATGGCAAATGATTTCCTGTTTCCCTTTCAGGATTCTTGCCTTTTGGAAAATCTCTGGACCAAAGGCAATTCCAAAATGGTAGACAGTTGAAGCAATACTGCCTGAATAGTGTAATAAATGCCGTCAGCAAGCATGATCCTTGATCTAAGGCTATCTGCCAGTATCCGTTGTTTTTTCTAGTTTTGTGAAAACTTTAACTTTTTGCAAAGCCATTTTAACAGATGAAGTGGGATGAACTTCACTTCTTACTTCTTTGTTTTACTGAGTGACATTCACGCATAATATTTGTTCTCCACTTGTCTTGGGAACATAGTCAGAAATCGCATGACACCAGGTTACTCGTCCGACAGGCTTATTTAAAATCACAAGCTTTTGGAGCACTGCTCCTTTGTCAGGTGAAATCACTTCACCTGACGAAGGAGCAGTGCTCCGAAGCTTGTGATTTTAAATAAACTTGTTGGAGTGTAACCTGGTATTGTGTAATTTCTGATTTGCCCAGCCCAGTCCAAAACCGGCATCTCCACATCATGTCTTGGGGACAATTAATGATGATAGGATCCTGATTTCAGTCATGCTGTGTAACTGAGATTTTAGGTCTCCCATCAAAGATTGAGGAATTTTCCTGGGAGTGTATAAACAGATGGGATTAGCATCTTCTTGCAGAGTAATGTGATGCTCCAGTTTCAATTTACCAAAACATTTGAATAGCTTTGGAAAATTCTTGCTGAAATTCTCTTCTATCTTCATTCTCAAGTATAGTATCCATTCTATTACGAGACCCACATGAATACATGCACTTTTGCAGACCAATGTAATATTTGGATTCCTTAGCTTCTTGGTAATTTTATTACCTCCTGGACCATGGAGATTTATCTTACATGGTCTGACTCTTACTGTCTTCGATACTGGCAAGCTATCTGCCATTATTGAATCAGCTGCTACTGTGTCAAGTTTAAATTCTGTTTCAACGTGTTGTACCTTTATGTTAGTAGTCAGAATCTGATTTGACTCTTGTTGACCCCACATAAGAGCATTGTCTTCACTTTTGTTCTGTACATTTAACTTATTGACCATTTTTCCTTGTTGCATGATTTCTATTTCTCTGGAAAATTTCTTTTTGGATGAGATTTCCTTTGTTTTTTGATCTTATCAGAGGGTTAACATGTAATATTTTTCTAATTTGTCCTAACTGGTCACACTTGTAGCACTCAGGTTCCCCTGCTGGACATTTATTGCTCTTATAATTCCATTTGCAAATCTTGTACAACTGATGATATTGATTCCTGCTCATTTGGTGTTTCGCGTCGTTTTCAGGAGGGGTGACGACACCAACTTAGGGCCTACACATCTGTCTACGTCAGGACAATCCCAGATGTTTCCTCATGCAACTGACCGATTTTGGCCCTGATTTCTGCCTGTGTAGCTAATTGCATTGCCTCTTCCATTACTATATCCTCTGTGAATTGAAGAAAATTTGACACCTTCTTATAGTAAATACTGACTGCTCCATATTAATTCATCTTTCAAAGATCTACCTGCAAACTCCAAGCTGTTTAAAAAGCTTCCATTTATATTCCTAAATGCTAAGATCACTGATTAAATCTCAGCCACTCCATCACTAAATTTTTTTTGTGAGGGGGTAAATTACAAAGCAAATGCTTTAATCAGTGTAGTGATCAATTATAGTGTTTCCTTCAATGGTTTGCCTTACCAGAACATCATTAGCTATTAGACCTACACCATATAAAAACATAATGAGGTCTGTATAGTCACAGCCAATGTCAGGTTAATGTGCTATTGTGCAGAAAATAGAATTGTCTCTTCTAAGAAGTAGGTTTGCATAAGTGCAGCAATTCTTATAATCAGAAACACTTTTCAATTCCTTTTGTGAGTCTTTTTTTAAAATTCATTCATGGGATGTGGCATCACTGGCTAGGCCAGTATTTATTGACCTTCCTTAGCTGCCCCTGACAAGTTTAATACATTTAATATCCTGAAACACTGAAATATCAGGTAATGATTTGAACCATTAATTGCAACATACTCAAGAATTGCTCTAGTAACAAAGAAAGATAATTCTTGTCATCTTTAATTTAAGTAAGTAGCCTTTCTGAGACAAGTTCCATCCAAAGTCCATCTTTCGGAGTTATTTGCTGGTTCTCAGCTTGGCACTAGTGTTGACATGTTTTACAATTAGTCTCTGTAACATTGCCACAGCAACTGTGGTGTTGTCATTACAGTCTTTTATTATTTGCACCATACTGGCCATCTGGACTATGATTCATCCATCTGTTTTTAGAATACTCTTCTATTTTCAGCACAAGTAAGAAAATCTGTAATCTAGCTAACAAGCCAACAAATTATCTTTTTAAGACTGATACTTTATTTTAAACTTTTATTAAAATTTATTTTGGAAAATGATTTGTTATCAGATGTTAAGAAGGACTTTGTTTGAAAATGGTCCTCGTACAAAGTCAGAAACCATGTTGTGACAGTCAGTTGTCAACTGAAGTCAAAACACCACCCTAAACTAAATCCATGCCTGAGCAGAATAAACATCAATTATTCTTTGCTATATTACTATTGGGTAATGTGCAATTAATTTATCAGAAATGACCAGAACTTGCAAAAAGTATTTGTATAACATTCTTTAACCATATCCTTTTTTCTAGGCTTTGGAATTGCATCATTCATTGCAGAACCTACTTAAAAACGTGTGTTCTACAATTTGCAGTAACATGCATGGAATTCTCCAGACAAATGAACTGCAAAAGGAATCTAACCAAGCGCAGTAAAATTTAGGATCTTGACTGATGCCCAAGTATTTAAAAATCCAGTGCAAGGTGTGGCACTGAGCTATGGACAGCATGAATGTCAAATGTTTTATTCCTTGACTTTGCTGAGTTGGCTTCTCTCTTCTATCAAAGCAATGGGGACACTATAATTGGCTCAGTATTCCAAACTGGGAAAGAGAAAACAAGTCAGAAAGGATTCCCACTCTCCATTGCCATCGAGTGACCTCTGCTGGAAATGTCCAGTGCTGAGGGAATATACAAATAGGCCTCTGTTATGATGGACTAATATCTGTTAGCAATTGTCCGTAATCAAACTCAAAGATTTGTTATGTAGCTAAGTTACTGTGGATTTGCTGCACAGAATTGTACTCCACAAGTCGCCCTTAAGGAGAAATGAACTTGAAGGTAACTATCCTATAATTTTGAGCATGTATGGTTACCTACTACCCCTGATGGGGATTGATTACCTTAACTAGCTGGTTCGCGATGTAGAATGATGCCAACAGTGTGGGTTCAATTCCTTCACCGGCTGAGGGTACCATAGAAAGCTCTCCTTACCAACCTTTCCCCTCGCCCAAGGCAAGGTGACCCTCAGGTTAAACCACCACCAGTCATCCCTTTTCAATGAGACCGCATCCTTACAGGCATCTGGCACTATGGAGGCTTTTCCTTTAACTTTTACTACCCTTAATAATTGAAACTAGAAGTAGTTTCTTGGTTTTTTTTCTCTTTGCCATACTTCCTCATTACATTTTCAGGAGAAATGATGTGGATAAATGACATTATCAATGGTACGTAGGCTTCAGTGAATTGTAAATTTGCTCATTTAATTCACCACTTGCTAATTAGTAAGAATTGGCAGAATCTTACAAAGGCCTGAATGAAGTGCAGAGAGGCCAATCTCGACATCAGGAACAATTTGCTGTCTTTATTAGCTAAATTCTAGGTGCTGAGGCGAGATTCTCGCTGGAGAGAATTGAGTGACTTATCAAGGGAGGGATTATTAATAACCTTATCACTGGCATGTCTCATCTTATTAAAATGCAGATTCTTATCATACCACCCACCCTGAACAAACTAGATGCTGAATATTCTCCACATGGAAGACATGGTCTGTAACACTTGATTTAGAGTTGAACAGAATGAAGAAACATATTGACAAAGTTATAAGATTATAAATTCTTGACTAATGTTACTGAACTACATTTCAAAAATGCAGGGATATGAATTGCAGGCTGATGTCTGATAAACAGGCAATAACATCCTGCAGGACCCATCAATGAAAAAGAAAACCTAAAAACTGCTTTATTTCAATTGTTATGTCCTGGTTTTATAAATACCTACAGAATAGAAACCTTCCAATCCAATTTGTTTTATCTTTTAAACGACATCACAACTGGTGTCTTTCATCCAGCTCCCAATCTTACTTTAAACTATGAAATCAAAGGTTTACGCATCCATCTGTTTGGGTAATAGACACAAAGCTAAATTTTCCACAGACAAACAGTCTTAACTACAATCTCTTCACTTTAACCCAGAGAGAAACGATAGATCTCTTTCAACCAGATCATCTGCATTTAATTCAACCGTCAAAAACTGGTATCTTTTGTCCAACTCTTTGTTTTAACATAAACAGGAGAGATAGTATTACACGTTACCTGAGCGATAATCGCAATATCCTGATGCTCTCACTTGGAGCACTGATAGTAGAAGATGGAAGTCCAAATGTTTTGACCACTGGTTATACAGCAATGAATACTGGAAGGCTATACCCTCCTTATACCTTTGTATAAGTCAGGTTATTCCTGACAGTATCTTGATAATCGTGGGTATTAGTATCATTTGCATGTTTTCTGACCTTTCATTATTACAAACTGTTAGTCTTTTAATTGTAATATCTTCATCGTTGGTTTCGTATCCTTGACTCCCCCATACCTCTACATCCTCTACCACCTCTACAACACTCCAAGACCTTTCTGCACTCCTACGATTCTGACCTTTTGCACAATCCCAATTTAATTTACTGCACACAAATGGCTCTGTTTTTAGCTGCCTTGGCCTTAAGCTCTGGAGTTTTCTCACAAAACATCTCCATCTTACTGTCCAGCTTGAAGATATGCCTGGGAATCTCTTTCTTCAAGCGTTTGGACATCGGCACTGATATCGTCTTTGTGTCTCCGTGTCAATTTTTTTTATTGTTAAGCACTTGGGATGTTTTACTCCATTAAGTGCACTAATGTGCTGAGTGAATGATTTTTTCACCTTTCTCCTTTGTATCCTCGCACTCTTATTGTCCACTTTGCATGAATGTGCAGAGGCCCAGTGTGTGAAAATCAGTTGTTCCAATTTACGTAACAGGAAGCATGTATGAAGTTTCCTCCGTAGAGAGCAGCCGGACTTTGATCACCCGTGGGAGCTGACTGACCATGTTCCAAGTCACTGGTCTGATGTGTGAGGCTGCCCTTGATTTACTGTGCCAGGAGCTCTGGGTGAAAGCTGTTTCCCTTGATTTGACCAATGACTGCTGACAACCAAAGCTTCCTGGCTTTGTGTCTGCACTAGACACCATGGCAACACAGCAGTAATGTGAGCCCAGTATCTCTGGCTGAAAGAGCCAAAAGGCAAGGCAGGAACTCTGTGATTATCCAGGTAGGCTCAGATTGAGTGATCTCTATGACAGCAAGCAAACAGTTCAGCCATGCAGGCTGGTCCAGTCCATGAGCTGCCTACGTGGGCCTTAGCACACAGTGTCCTTGCTGCAGCGTAACAGTGGTAGGTGCCAGTAGCCTGAGATGCAGCACTGAAGTACAGAAATGTCCAATACTTGGAGCAGAGGCATGCAATGAAGTTCATGAGGTGACAGTCAGAGCCAGTGTCTGTGGATGGCAGTGGATGAGGCTGCTGCCTTTGGAATATACCCTGAGATATTGGTGCCTGGTGTCCAACATGGAGGTCTTTTGGAGCAAGTGGTGGGCTGAGTCACCAGGTGCCCATGTTTAGCACAATCAGCGCAGTTGGTAAAATAGGAAGCTGAATATTAATAAGGCAAGTTGTGCCATAAATAAGGCGCTTAGCAAGCAATCATCTCCCTAAACTGGCAACTCGCTGCTGTCAAGCAAGAAACTTGCCTCGCTGTTCAGCAAATGCATAAAAGATGCAAAGGATTGCCCCTGACATCAAGATATCCTTGCTGGACTTTCTCTGTAATTCTGCCACAAATCCTGCCATAACCCACATTGTTCAGGTCCTTGTAAGATTCTGCCTATCGATATTGAGCTACCTGATCTCACTGAAATTCATAGAGCTTTGACAGTGCAACCAAAAAGAAGATATCAGTGTTTCAGGGAATTGTAACAGTAATTGGCAGTAGCATGTCCAGAACAGTTCTACCAGTCTGTCTATGAGCTGCTATCTAAGACTGATTTATTTGCAATTGATTGGTTTTACATTATTTGAACCCATATGTTCTATACGTTGTCAATGATGTAAAATTGGCTAACTGCAATTATTCTAAATGAGTTCTGTATTGTACAAAAAGTGATTTAACTGAAAATATTCTTTGAAGACAGTGACTGACAAAGACCAACATATTTGTTAACTTGTTAAAAGAAAGTAAACAGGGGAAAGAATTTCATTATTCTTAAAGTCATCTTTATGCTTCACGAGCTGCTCTTGTTCATTTTGATCAGTCGAAGATGTAGTCTGTGTGTAGTAAGGAATGTGGCCACAGATGCCTGGAATGCACAAAGAATGTTTCTATTATTGTAAGACTCTTTTCCATTCACTTAACATGCATTTACCGAACAATTTTAATTGGATAATCTGTTCAGAAATAACATTAAAAAATAATGACAGCACGCTGGCTTGTATGGGGGGCAGGAATGGAATTTTTCCAGACCATTTCTTTTCAAGTTTATTTTTCTATTTTTGAGTTTGTACATCACACATCTTTTGACTTGACAGTGGGCCAGCGGATAACCTGCTCTCCAGTGTGTTTTCCTTTATATTCTGGTTATTAGAAAGCTGTACAGGAAGAAACAAGGTTTTTGTTCTCTTTTTCTGTTATGACTTAATGAAAAATCCACACTTTGCCATTCTACAGCTGAAGTACAGTGCTGCAATGATCTTTTGTCTTAGTTCATTACAGAAGCGTTAGAATTTATAGAACTATACCAGTGATAGAAATTGTTTACTTTTGTTTTTGTTCAAATTAAATCTGGATTAATTTACCGAGTATATTCATTTCTTTTTTCTTAGAGCTGAATATTCCTGATGATTTTATTCCAAACGTTTACCTCCAACTTGATCAGCATCTACAGGTAAGACATTTTAGGAACGAAAAAGAAAAATTATTATCATGCCAGTAAATGATGATTTATAGTAAAGTTTTGATGGAAAGTGCGCTCTATTAGCATCTTGCAATAGCACAATAGATGGATCTTGTATTACATGCACAAGTCATTTCTAAATTTAGTAGGGCTAAATTTATCATGTGAAACATGTGACTTAAAGAATTACAGTTATTGCAGTGCAGAAGGAGACCATTTGGCTCATTGTGTTTGCACTGGAAATGTTGAAAGTTTAATTGCAAATTGTTCACCCTTTACTGTGAACTACAGTCAGGCTAGAATACATCAAGTAGACTCTCATAATAGAGCCAAGTATGCTTAGCTTACTTTTTTCAGCCAAAAAGAAAGTCATCATTTTGGACTCAAGTTGAAAGTTAAAAGAACGTTGAATATGCCACAGTGCTCATTGTTATTTTAAAACCGGTAATTTTTCAGAAGCGTACACTGTTTAATAGGGAGTAACATGATGACACAGGATCTTGTTATGGAGACATAAAGTCATAGAGAAATACAGCATGGAAATAGGCCCTTCAACCCAAACTGGTCTATGCTGACCATGGTGCCCACTCAGCTAGTTCCAATTGCCCGCACTTGGTCCATATCCCTCTAAACCCATCTCATCCATCTACCTGTCCAAATGTTGCTATTTTACCTGCCTCAACCACTTTCTGCGGCAGCCCATTCTGGCACTACACTTTGCATGAAGAAGTTGCCCCTCAGGTTCTTCTTAAATCTATCCCCTCTCACCTTAAACCTATGCCCTCGAGTTTTCAATTCCCCATCCCTGGGAAAAAGACTATATGCATTCATTCAATCTATGCCCTTAATGATTTTATACACCTCAATAAGGTCACCCTTTATTCTCCTACGTTCCAAGGAATAAAGTCTTATTCTGGCCAACCTCTCCCTTTCACTCTTGGCAGCATCCTTGTAAATCTTCTTTGCATACTTTCCAGTTTAACTATGTGTTTCCTATAACAGGGTAACCACAACTGTACTCAATACTCCAAGTGTGGCCTCACCAACAACTTATACAACTGTAACATAACGTCCCAACTCCTACACTCAATGCCTTGACTGATGAAGGCCAGCGTGCGAAATGCCTTCTTCACCACCCTGTCCACCTGTGACGCCACTTTCAACGATCTATGTACTTGTACTCTTAGGTCCCTTGGTTCCACAACACTCCTCAGGACCTTACCATTTACTGTACAAGTCCTACCTTGATTTGATTTTCCAAAGTGCAACACCTCACGCTTATCTGCATTGAATTGCATTTGCCAATCCTCAGCCCACTTCCCCAGCTGATCAAGATCCCTCTGTAATTTTTGGTAACCTTCTTCGCTATCAATGATAACTCTTAATTTTGTATCATCTGTGAACTTACTAATCATGCCTTGTACATTCACATCCAGATCATTTATGTAACAAAGGTCCCAGCACCGACCCCTGTGGCACACAACTAGTCACAAGCCTCCAGTCTGAGAAAAAGCCTTCAACAATCATCCTGTGCTTCCTACCATCGAGCTAATTTTGAATCTAATTAGTTAGCTTTCCCTGGATCCCATGCGACCTAACTTTCATGACTAGCCTGCCATGTAGGACCTTGTCAAACACTGAGGAGAAATATTCATTAAAAATCTCCCCCATCTCCTGTGGCTCCACACATAGGCAGCCATGCTGATCTTTAAGGGGACCTATTCTCTCCCTAGCCACCCGCTTACTCTTAAAATAGCTATAGAACCTCTTGGGATTATCGTTAACCTTATCTGTGTTCCTTGTTGTTCCACTTTAGTATTATGATTGCTCACATTGCAAGCCCCTAACTTCAATCATACCACTGTGGGTCAGTGACAGTCTAGCTCAGTCACTCCACTGACCTTCCGTGGCGTCATTCCACTTAGACCACTGTTATCTTTCCAATATTGTATGGGTAAAATCTCTGTCAAAGGGCTTTGATCTTCTTTAAGCTCTTCTTTAAGGTCTGGATGATCCATGGAAACAGAAAAGGTCCTTTCTGTGAAGACCATACATTTGGATTTAGAATTTAGATTGTCCTTGCAGTTATAATTAGAATATTTTGAACAAATCATATCAGACCTGAACATTTATGCTATGCGCTTACAGACAAGAATATAAACAATGTACACTTGCAACCAGCCTATTCAGATATTTTATTACACACCTCTTCAGCAGGTGGACTTAAACACGGGCCTGGTGGCTTAGAGGTAGGGACACTATCACTGCACCACAACAGCCCTACGGTGTTGATTTGTACATTATGTTTAACACAGAAAAAATATTGGAAGAGGCAATGTAAAACTGAATAGAGAATAAAGAGGTTTTTTAAAAAAGTTAATTCATGAATGTGGGGATTGCTGTTAAGGTCTGCATTTTTTGCTGATCCCTAATTGCCCTTGAGAAGGTGGTGGTGAGCTGTATTCTTGAACTGCTGCAGTCAATGTAGTGAAGATACATCCATTGTGCTGTTGGGAAGCAAGTTCCAGGATTTTCACTCTGTGACTAAATTGGGATAATATGTAATTTGCTGTTCTCCCAGATGGTAGGGGTCAGAGGTGTTGAAGAGACTGGGCGAGTTACTGCAGTTCATCTTGCATGTATTTGATGGGGTACCAATCATCTGGCAGCTTTGTCCTGGATGGTGTTGAGCTTTTTGACTGTTGTTAGAGCTGCACTCATCCATGCAACGCAAGAAGAACCAATCACATTTCTTGGATGAGGATTTTAGTGAGGTATGGAGCCAAGCGATCTTGGTAAAATTGGCGAAATTAAGCAGGTTATGGCTGAGTAAGTGTTGCATGATAGCACTTTCACTGATAACATTATTGAATTGTTGTTGACTGAAAATAGACCGACAGAGTGGTAATTAGCTGGATTGGGTCTATCCGTTGTTTAACAAACAGGCACTTTTCATGTTGGCAGACAAATGCTAGTGTTGCAACTGTATTGGGTCCAGTTTGGCTGCAAATGTGCTTAACTCTGAAGGACAAGTCTTCAACAGTGCAGGTTGTTGTCAGAGCCAAAATATTTTCAGGAATTGAGCCATTTCTTGATATCCCTTGGAGTGAATTGAATTGGCTGAAGACTGATATCTCTGATCCGGAAATCTCAGGAGGAGCCCAAGATGGATGAGCAGTTATAGCTGAGATGGTTGCAAATGTTTCAACCTTGATTGTTGCACTGATGTGCTGGACTTTTCCAGGTTGGGGTTGGTCAGGGGCCCTTCTCCTTTTTTTTTTCTTAATTATCCACCACCATTTGCAACTGGATGTGGCAGGAATGATCTCATTCTTTGATATTAATTCTGTCTATGGCATGTTACTACTGGTGTTAAGATTCCATTTAATTCTTTGGCTTCACAAGTTTGAATTTCATTTTTAACAATACCTGTTGATATTTCTGGCATGCTGGTCCACGTTCCTATTGAGACAGGTTAATATCTTAGCTTGATGGTAATGGCAGAATGAGGGGTATGTCAGGCTATGAAATTGCAAATTGTAGTTGAATGCCATTCTGATGTGATTGATGGCCCACAGCACATTGATGCTTTGTTTTGAGAACATAGATCTGTTGTGAGTCTGTACTATTTAGCATGGTGATAGTGGCTCAGAAAACAATGAGGATGTTCTTATAGTGAGTATGGGACTTTGTCTCCACAATGACTGTGCATTGGCCATTCCTACCAAAAGAGTCATGCATATGAGGGATACAGACAGTGTAGGTAAGGAAAAACTTTTCCACTTAGTAGAGGGGTCAGTAACCCTGGGGCACAGTTTTAAAGTAAGTATAGGGAGGCAATGGCCTCGTGATATTATAGTTGGACTACCAATCTCCAGACCTAGAGGATGTTCTGGGGACTTGGATTCAAATCCTACCATGGCAGATGGTGAAATTTGAATTCAATAAAAGTCTAGAACCAGAAGCCTAATGATGACCATGAATCCATTGTTGATTTTGGAAAAACTCACCTGGTTCTTTCAGGAATGTCCTTTCAGGAATGAAACTGCTGTTCTTACCTGAACTGGCCTACATGTGACTCCAGACCCAGAGCAATGTGGTTGACTCTTAACTGCCCTCTGAGAAATTATGGATGGGTAATAAAAGCTAGCATAGCCAGTGATGCCCTCATCCCATAAATGAATTTTTAAAAAAGCAGGAGGTTTAGAGAAGATTTCTGGATATGTTTTTCATCCAGAGGGATGTGGGTATCTAGAACTCATTGCCTAAAAGGATGGTAGAGGTAGATACTCTCATGACATTTAAGAAATATTTGGATAAGCACTTGAAATACTAAAGCATAGAAGGCTACAGTCTAAGTGCTGGGATTAGAATAAATAAATGTTTGATGACCAGCATGGGCACAATGGGCTGAAGGGCCTCTTTCCATGCTGTAAAAACTCTATGACTCTGTCAGCTGATGGAAGGCCATTAATGGTAATCTTAAGAATGGATTCTCCTCCCCCTCCAGTGCATTTAAAGTGATCATCAACTGCTTTTGGGTCAGTTGCTTATTTATTTCTACTTGCTGTAACTATCATTGTACAAGTGGTCATGGTGTCCAAAGTTTTTGAAAGTTGCTGAAGTCTGCAAGAAGTACTGAAGGACTTTATCCTGACTTTCAAAAGTGGGCTCAATAGTTAACATTACCCATGGATTGCTGGAGCATGACCGAGAGGGAGATATTTGCACCATCTCACAATTAACCACCCACTGTTGTGTAAGGGGAGTCACTGACTACATGTAATTCATTCTTGCCGTCAACCAGCAGGCAGGGTAAGCATGTCACTGCAAGGATAGCTGGCTTCCCTGTTGGGCAGGTCATTATTGACTGCAAATACATCATGCTGTGGATGTCTCAAATCAACTGGGTCAAGTGCCACAACCAGAATTGGACAAAGATTACTTTGTCTCAGGATCCAGCGGTCTCTGGCTTTGTGCAGTCAATTATGCAAGTCATTACTTGGTAACCTGCCAGTATTATTGGATTCCACAGCAGTCTATCATGACACCTGCATTTAAGGCACACAGTGAGCAATAGTGTGATTCTGGGTTGTGAGCATAATCTGTTAACTGCATGACTAATGACTCCAATAACCGAAAGCTATGCTGTCGCACAAAATATATCATACGGTGATCTATGCTTTATTGCCTGGACAAATCAGGTGGGCAAGTGTAATGTGGAAGATGAATTTGTATTGTTTCTTCAAACTGATCAAGTTGGTCAGGTTCTAAAGGACATAGCTGCTATGCTGGGCCTGTGGTAGGTGGTGAGGGAACCAACAAGAGGGAAAAACATATTTAAGCTCATCCTTACCAATCTGCTGCCTGCAGATGCAGCTGTCCATGACAGTATCATTGCACAACATACCTGGAAACAGGCTATTTTCAATATAGTGATGTGTAATGAGGTAGCATTAGCAACTGATCTCATAGGGGACAAAGAGGAGGTGATGGCCTGGTAGTAGTATTGCTAAACTATTAATCCAGAAACTCAGGTAATGTCCTGGGAACCAGGGTTCAAACCAGCATCACGACAGATGATGCAATTTGAATTGAATAAGAAAAATCTGGAATTAAAAATCTACTCATGACCATGTGGTCATTGTTGATTGTCGGAAAATCTGGCTTACTAATGTCCTTCAGGGAGGGAAGCCTACCATCCTCACCTGGTCTGCCCTACATGTGACTCCGGACCTAGAGTAATGTGGTTGATTCTATACTACCTCTGAAATGGCCTAGCAAGCCACTCAGTTGTATCAATTGCAATGAAGTCTCAACAAAGAAATGAAAACGGACAGATCACCTGGCATCGACCTAGGCACTGGAAATGACAATGGTTAATAACAACCCTGCAAAGTCCTCCTTACTAACATCTGGGGACTAGGGCCAAAACTGGGAGAGCTGTCTCAGACTAGTCAAGCAACAGCCTGACATAGTCATACTCTCTGAATCATTCCTTACAGACAATGTCCCAGACACCACCATCATCATCCCTGGAAATGTCCTGTCCCATCGCCAAGATAAACCCAGCAGAGGTGGAGACACAGTGATATACAGTAGAGAGAGAGTTGCCCTGGGAGTCCTCAACATTGACTCTGGATCCCATGAAGTCTCATGGGTTTGGCTTAAACATGGTCAAGGAAAACTCCTGCTTGTTACATGTACTATCCTCCCTCAGTTGATGAATCAGTATTCCTCCATTTCAAACAACACTTAGAGGAAGCTGTGAGGGTGGTAAGGGTGCAATGTGTACTCTGGCTGGAGGATTTCAATGTCAACCATGTGGAATAGCTTGTCAGCAGTACTACTGATCAAGTTGGTGAGGATATATCCTAAAGAATATAGCTGCTATGCTGGGCCTGTGGTAGGTGGTGAGGGAACCAACAAGAGGGAAAAACGTATTTGAGCTCATCCTTACCAATCTGCTGCCTGCAGATGCAGCTGTCCATGACAGTATCAGTAAGAGTCACCTGTGCACAATCCTTGTGGAGATGAAGTCCCGCCTTCATAATGAGAATAACCTCCATCATGTTGTGTGGCACTATCACCATGCTAAGTGGGATAGACTTTGTGAATCAAATTATGTCATTTTGCATTTTTTTAATACTTATCCTTTGCATCTTGACCTGTCCTTGTGCTCCTACATAATGCTATCAGTGCTACTGATTCTCAGCAGAGCTGACTGAAGATGACTCTGGAGGGTGACCTGGACCAGCTTCTGGGAGAGAAGACCAGGTTTTGGACTGTCCTAGCTTGGCACAGGAGGCAGCAGGCTGGGCTGGTTGGCTGGCAGCACCAACACGGACAGTGGTCGGAGGAAAAGTACTGCCATACTGAGAGAGAACAGCAGGCTTGTGCGCGACTGAGCCACTGGCACCTTCTCCCCTGCACCCTCCCACCCCACCCAGGGAAGTGCACTTAAAAACTGTGACAGAGCAAACTGGTGGAATGCAGTGAGAACATGCAAGTCCCTTTGAACAATGATAAATGCTGGGA